ATTTAACTGCAAAAAATCAAATATGAAGGATATATCATTAGAGCTTCTCCAACATGAACTCATTACATCAGCCATTAGCAGCCTGGATATAGACAGATAATAAGAGACTCATAAGAACAGCAGACGATCAGTGTTTTACACCAGTATTCATCTATTTTTTTGAATATTCATACTGCATTTAGAAGTTCATAAACAACAGTAAAGTAGGGAGGAAGAGGTCCGAGTGAACCTTGACCCTCCCAGGTCACGCACAATGACCAATCGCTGATAAAGACAATAAATATATTAAATGATTTATTAACTGAAATATATCTCTATATCATACATGTATATTATAAGAATAAGACCACCTACACTAGACTTTAAATGATCACTTTGATTTAGATATTACAAGCGTATTTTATGTCAAATATCAAGTGTAACAATTTTTAACTCGGTGTGTTACATCACGTTTAATAACTAAAGCTTTTGACAGTTTATTAATGACACCCCCCCCCCCCCCCAGTGTCACGGCGGTATGTCTGCCGACTTACAACGCTAGAGACATGGTTTCGATACCCGTGGTCGGCAGAGCACAGGTAGCCCATTGTGTAACTTTGTGCTTAACCTCAAACAATGACACGGGCCTGCGATGGTTTTATTGTCTTGACATTTTTACGTGTTCCACAGTAATTCCTGTACGCTGAATCCGAAAATGATATCCATTTTTCTCCATCACGTACAGATTTTTCAGAAAGCGTCATAACGCAATACATGAAAGACCACAACGCGTAGTTATGAAACTAAAAGACGTACCGTATTTTTCGGAATATAAGACGCACCCTTATTTTGAGGACAAAGTTTTTTGGGGAAAAAAAAAAGCTACAGTCGCATTTGAAAGATGTTTATTGAACAGCTAGTCATCACCACCCACCGCCAACTCTTGGGCTACTCTTTTACCAATGAATAGTGGGATTGAGCGTCACACTATAACGCCCCCATGGCTGAATGGGGCGAGCATGTTTGGTGGGACTGGGATTCGAACCCGCAGATTGCGAGTCGAGCTCCCCAAACCACTTGGCCATGCTGGGCCTAAAATCTGAAAGAAAGTTTAAAATATAAAAAATCTCAATTATCAATTCTAAACTTAAATTTATTACTTGAAAAATTAGTTATTTTCTGGCTTTTATGATTTTTTATGATGCAACGAAACTGGTTAAATAAAGAACAATTTGGTAAGAAAGAGTTCGGAATTTGTTTTGTATATATATATATAATTTTCCCACACTAACTTTACATAATTAAAGGAAAATTACACATACATACATATATACATATATATATATATTAAAGTACCAAGAAACTAAGATATGACTTAAGCAAGCTGGGTTAATAATACGAATAAAAAAAATGTTGACTGTCATCTTGTATTTAAATGTTTTTATCCGGCTAAACCATTTAAAAGTTTTTCAATTTTCTTCCAATAAAAAAAAAAAAAGTTTTTAAAATAATGGTAACTAACATTCTTAGGGTATTAATTATATATATATATATA